TTAATGAATTTTAATTTGTATTTTAGTTGTGTCTTGTTGTTACTTTTTTACATTCATCGTTTGTTCGAATAAGTTATTTTTGTGTTTGTTGCTCGTTTTTGTTTATTTATTATGTTCGTTTATGTTCGTTCGTTTGTGTTTGTTTATGTTCGTTTATCATTTAAATGAACGAACATGAACAAGCTATATTCCTGAATGAACGAACATAAACAAAAAAAATTTGTTCGTTTATGTTCGTTTATTTATTAAATGAACGAATATAAATATACCTCTATTCGTGTGTGTTCGGTTCACAGGCCTAGTTCTAGCACTTGAATCAACTACTCTTCGCTATAGACTATGAGATAGGCTGCTATACCTCGTGATCCACTTGTCAAGTAAGGATCTGTTTCAAATATTGATATCATAGATACCAAGGCCACCAAAATCTCTTGACCTAGCAATACTTTTTCAGCTTGCCCAATGGATCGTACGTTTGACTGAAGAACCCCAAATGAAGTTTGCTACTAGTATATTTATCTGGGAGGCAATACCGTTTGGAATGCGGAATAAGGAGAAGTACACTGGGAGATTACTAAGCACCGACTTTGCTAGCGCCAGACGACCACTAAACAATAACAATTTGTTTTTCCATCCGTCTATCCTTGCCTTGAATTTGTCGATTATAGGCTGTCAAAGGCGCCTCGAGTTGCACGTGTGACCCAACGGAAGCCCGAGGTATGTGGTAGGAAAGGAATCGAGACCACATTTGATTTTATCTGTCCACTCTGAGACTTCAGTATCCCCATGCTGATCCCAAACATCTTGTCTTTTTCAGATTTAGGCTCAAACCTGATGCGACCACGAGCACTCTCAACATCCCATTAATGTGTGCTATGTTAGATTTGGAGGTCTCAGAGAACAGAATGAGGTTGTCTGCGAATTGAAGGCGAGACAACCAAATTATCAGCGAACTGAATGAGGTCGTCTGTGAATTGAAGTTGAGACACGATCAAATTATTAGCTCCCACTGACACACCCCTGAACAATCCATACCATTAGACTTGTGGATAAGAGAGCTTAGGCCTTCTCCAATTAGATTGAACAGAAGCGACAGGGGACATCCTTGTCGAAGGACTCTCTTGATATTGAACCTGTCGGGGATCCATTGGCTGGTTAAAACCACTTGTAACAGATAAATTCCACACAAAACCTCTTTTAATCCAAATATTGGGTTACTCCAAAATTCCATACAAAACCTCTTTTAACAGATAAATGCTATCAAGTCCGTTTTAAAAGATGTGGGGTCATGTGTTACTTTTTAAAATGTGACATCTAAAATATTTAAATAAGAAGAAATTATAAAATATTAAAATTTACCATATTACGATTGTGTTTTATAAAATAAAAAAATTTCAAACATACCAAACTAAGACAATATCACAAAATAACTCTTTAATTGTGATATTTTATTTAAAAAGTACCATCCTTCGAATACTTTTAGAAGTAAAATTGTGATTATTTTAAAATATGAGTCTCTAAATTTTAGGAATATGCGTATCGCATGTCACATTTGCTGATGAACAGCTCTGAATGATACATATCCCAATCCTCGTCTTGCGACCAACAACATCGATAGCACCTAAAGCTTGAAGGGTATTTGTGGTATTTACAAAGCATAATAAATTGCCAGTTTTGTACATCATCTTCACCACTGGTTGCTTGATCCCCATATTAAAATAGACTTCCCACCTGCCTCTTTTAATTGCACAAACTCAATTCCATAAGTTCATCATCTTGCACTTCCTCTCCTTCAAACTAATATGAAGAGGATTTGGAATCCCAAAGTCTCATTTATGTTGTTTATGATCATACTTTCCACCATCCGCCTCTCAACATGCATGAAAGTCCAATCAATGGAGCTGAACAAACAAGCAAGACAGGTTTCTCAACATGGCATTTCCCCGCAAAGAGTGAAGCAGTTCATCAAGTGTACCATCGAACAGTTCCTGGAGGACCAAACCCCCTCCATAACTGATTACTCTTTTTCTTTCTGGCACCTTAATTATAGTGCACTTGTTTTGTTTCCTCTCTTTAACTAGTATCCCTTCAGAATTTTCTTAGTTTATGTTACAAACGCACTACAAAGGCACACGTATCCTTTTACCACTGAGGTCATTTAATGATTCTCTTTTCGTCATGATTATATATAGGAGATACGGTTTGAGGAAGGAATGCAATCGTATTTGTTTGATTCTCAGAGTAGTTCACGGAATGTAAATTGTTCAGAGAATTTCCCCCAATGTTATCGTGTATATAATTTTTGTAGGATAAAATTGTTCTGCAATTTTCTGGGAAATTCAGAAACCAAATATGCAACCTGAGTCATTCTATCTTATGACTTGCATCTCGAGTTCGATGTCTCATCTACTATTTTAGGGTTATATTTGCAACCTGAAAATATATTCAGTCGGGATTTGCTTCATAATCACAAGGTAGCTTACAAGCCAAACATATGTGGAATTCTGTACTTGTTTCAACAAATATTATCAAGCTAAATCTTCAACATAGCAAGTTACCATTTCTTTTACTCGGGCTAAATATTAGCAGTAAAATGTGGAAAAATAACTCAAAATCATTCTCTCTCATTCAGATGAAGTTTTTTATAATGGAAAATTAAGATGGAAACCACATGTGGCCTAATCCTCATCTGAAGAGTGCCTTCTCCTTCCATGAGATTTACCCCTTCGACGACCTTCATCCCTTTCATCGTCGCTCGAATGCCGATCCTATCACAAAACAATCAAATTTAATTCCGGGTGGAAATATGTTCCTTTAAATATATGATAGAAAAAGTAAACTTACTCTTCCTGGTGAAGATTGTTTCCACCCTCCATAAGATTCATCCCTCCCATATACTGGGGAAGATCCACCCTGTTACGAAGCAATTAGAGTATTAGTCTATGTATCAACAATCTATTGCTAGTCGTGATATTGTGAATGGAACAAACTGGATTGGGAGAGCCAATTCATAGTGAACATCTATACTACTCGATCCGAATTAATCTATCCATAAATTGGATACCAAATTTTATACCGAGAAGTGCATGTGTGTGCATAAGTATAAAGACAAGAAGGAAAAGGAAAACAAATACCTCAGGGGTGAAAGTGAGACCAACTTTAATCTCTCCCTTGAATACGTTATCCCTAGTAACATTATATGCAGTTGGGGGGATGTTTCCTTCCCGACATACAGCCCTCAAAGGAATTTTGCAGATACCATTAAAAAGCTTGTGAATGTAGTGCAAACGAAACACTTGAGAGTTACAGCAGTACTCACTCAGCTTCTCCGACGAAATCATCGGAAGCGATATCGCTGTCCATTACTTTCAGTTTGAGTTCTTCGGCACCTTTCGACACATTGAATACGAATTTCTCGTTCCATACAGGTTCACTTCCATGTCCTGTTGCAACACTGCTTTTCTGCTCCTGAGTTTTTAAGGTCATGATCACGTAAGGATCCATTTTACCTGCTCTTTCCCACAGCATTTCATTACCAAACACACGTCGAAAAATGGACACAATTTTATGTTAAAGGTGATCAAACAGCAAAACTCACCGAATGTATCCATGTCCTCAAGACCCAAAAGAAACTTCAAGCGATCCCTGAGGCATGTTTGGAGCTTGAAACTCACCAACAATGAATGAATGAATGAAAAATGGGAAACACAGATTCCAGGGAGCTATATATTCATTTGTTTCCCATGTGTCTTGGATCTCTTTCTCGATTTGCTTTTTATTTTCTTCCAGGAAACTAAAAATAACACATCTGATGTTTGACTCGGTAAAATAGGAAGATCCCTTCACCCTTAATTGCAACAGTCGATTAATTTTCTCAAGGATTGCCTGATCAATGCCAAGTGGTTTTCTGTAAATCATATTTTTTTCTTATGAGTACATAAATTCGTTCTTCCTTGTTTTGCTCGTAACTGGTAATTAATTAATTAAAAAAAAAGGTCTTGTGCCACTTCAAACTCTCTCAACCTTAAATCAAACAAGGCTAAATGAAAGCCATTTAATGTATGTGAAATCAATTCTCTGATATGAGGAATATTGGACTCTGGAAATTCTTGCATCGCCAATAGCGTGGTCCGTGGGAATCCGTATCAAACACTCGACAATAACATAATTCACACTGTTAGTGTTCAGGGAAAAAAAAAGCACATTAATCAGCATTTTTAGGGAAGAGAGTAATGGACCTGTAACAAATAGTACCATAATAATTTTTAAATGTTTGATTTCACACCGAACGCCCCATTAAGTGTGATAAACAGGATAGACAACCAAGACGAGGGTGTGATTTATATTGATAATTACATGATTACATAACAACAAACCTACTCAAACTAGATTTTCTATTTTTAATCAACGCCTAATAGAATAAGTATAGTCTTGTATGGATTCAACGTGCAACAAATCAAACGAATCCCAATTTTTCTTTTAAATTTATTTTTTTCACCAAGTTTATTATACCATGAACTTTTTTAGACCGGATCAAATGAAATTTGAACTATATAACTCTAAAACAAATAATGAGTCGTGAACTCTAATTGACTGGGAGATCCATCTTTAATTCTTTATAGCACTTATGTAACATAGTATTAATTGTTCTTCTCAAACACTTTCACATTTCCCCCCAAATTCGCATATTCTCACGTATTCTTACCATTTAATAAGAAATACAATATAACGTACAAATAATTAGCTAGTAAAGCAATCAAGAGCAACGAAGTAGAAAAACATAAACAAAACCAAAAACAAGGCAGCATAAGAACAACAAACCAAAATAAAGAAAAACAACAAAACAATAGAAGCTTGTTGGGGTACCAAATCTTCAGCTCGGTAAACCTTCATCTTTCGGAAAACAAAGATCTTGATCATGAGAGCTTCAACGAAGAGGACCACTCCATCGTCTGGGGTACTGGTCGTCAAGATCAACATAAAGTGGAATGAAAGTAAAATGGTCTAACATGCATTAACTTGCGCATATTTCAAATATACTTTCAGATACATCATGAAATGCAAAAGGTAATATATGTTTGGCTTCCCCCCGAACCAAAAGCTTATATATAAAGAAATCATAAACTTACATTCATTATATTATATGTAACTCACTAGGGCACAAAATATTCCTTTGATATAACATAAGCAAGGCATATAGAAGCAGGAAAAAGGGCTGGGTAAAGCTCCAAATATGATAGTGAAAAAGAAGAGCATGTATCACCTGGCAGCCCCAAAGTCTAGTCTTCTTCAACGACATTAAGTTTTCCTTCTGTGAACTCACATGCGGGAATGGGGATTCCAAGCTGCTTCTGTAACTTCTTCACAACAAATACTTCTGGCTCCTCACATACGGTTAACACAGTTCCTTTCCTACCAAGCCTACCCGTTCGACCAGCTCGGTGTGCATAGTGGATAGAGTCAGTAGGCAACTCCAGATTAACCACAAGATCACATTCGGCCACATCCAAACCCCTTGCTGAAAGTTCATTTGTCACCAAAACTCTCACTTCTCCATTCCTGAACTTTTTCAAAGTTGTTGACCTTGCAAGCTTGCCAAGATCACCATGCAGCTCTGCAGCTACTATCCCACGGGCCTCTAATTTGAAGACAGCATCCTTTAGCTGCTTTGTATGGTTCATGAAAGCTATCACTGACTTGGCATCTAGTGCGTGTACACATCTTCTCAATGTATCAACCTTATGTTGTAATTTCGTGACACAATGGTAGTGTTTCAAAGCAGGTGGTAGGCTTTGCGATGCCGCCTGAGTCCGCAAACTTGAGTCTGAACCAGATGTAGGTTTTAAGATATTAACAGGTCCAGAGGGCGCAACAGATTCAAGTGGCATGACCTTTTTAGCTTGGACAAGAAGTGGGTCAGACCCCCAGCTCCTAGCTGCCCTTATAACAGAATACGGAACTGTTGCGGACACCATAATGGTCCGACGCTCAGCACACTTCGCAATTGAGCCACGGGGGTCAGCACCTGACCTCCTGCCCACATGTTCCAATATCCGGTGCATATCCTCCCGAAAGTTAAATGAAAGGAGCTCATCAACTTCATCTAAAACTAAGAAACGACAGCTATGAGTGTGAAGCTTCCCAGCTGTACTGATCTCTGCAATTCGACCAGGGGTTCCAACAACAATTGCTGGCTTGTTCTTCTTTAAAGCTTCTTCCTGTCTTGATCGATTTGCACCTCCCACAAGTTGCTGAACAACTTTCTTGTCTTCAGGTCCCAGAAGCTTTTCGACCTCCCTAACGATTTGCATCCCCAGTTCCCTAGAGGGAGCTACAATAACCGCATCAATCTCCTTTTTTTTCCCAGATTCACCATCGCCATTGGGAGATTTCTTTTTCAGTGGGCCTACTTCAGAAAGTATGGGAAGCAGATACGCTAATGTTTTTCCTGAGCCTGTGTATGATTGAATCACGACATCATGACCCTTGAGAATTGTTGGAACTGCTGCAGACTGAACATCAGTTGGAACCGTGAAGCCTGCTACATCTAACCTCTCTAGCAACAAATGTGGGAGGCCAAGCTCAGAAAATGACTTTGCTGCAAAAGGAGCTGATTCAATTTCTAGTGATTTTTTCACCCCAGCTGCCTTCACTGATTTTATACTATTGCTTCCAACAGCCCTCGACTTACTTTTGGGTGTTCCATTAGAAACATCAAGCCTCTCGATTTCATTTGCTTTGTTCTTGTTTGTTTTCTCACTGTCACTTTTAAAACCAAGGCTGGCAAGAGTAAGAGGTTCGTTATCAGGATTAACCTGACTCACAGATCGTACACTGATCCGGCCCCAAACATTCCTAGGCACTTTAGGTAACCTAGACGATGGTAACGATTCCCCGAACAATAGAAGAAACCTTGTTGAGGGTAATGCTAGCATCTTTTCCAGATCGTTATTGACCAGCAACTGAAAATTCCACTTTTACGATTCCAGTAACATTAACAATCAAAGGATTGCGAAAAAGCTTTTTGAAAACAGAATCTCAAGCTGCAAATTTAATGAAAACGCAATAAGGGTCAGAGCTGTATTAATAGAAATATAATCTGGACATCCAGCTTTAACATGCTAAACCCAACAATCAAACACTTGAATTCACTATATCAGTAGAAATGAACCAAAAAAAAATCAAAATTCATAACTAAGGTATAAACTACAATACAAGAAGCACCCAGAAGATATGTCTAGCAAGATCTTGCTCGCTAGCAATTTGTCTATCTTATGAATTTCGTGAGACAATACTTAAAAAATGCAACCGAAACATGTTAGAATTGTCAAATGAATGGAAGCATTCGGTGTAATACATTGAAGGTCATTTCACTGCTGAGTGAAACATTTGATCAGACAGTTTGAGCGCAATGTCAACGCCAACTAAATCTACCACAATCCAACGGAAATATTCAAATTAGAGCCACGCTAACGATAAACAATTGTTTACAGCATTTGGGTAATGGCTTTAATTTTCCATTTTCAAGAGGAAATTGGCAAAGAAAAACTTACCTTAGAGCTCAAACAGCGTCCGGCCTCTGCTTGGTATAAGTAAACTCTGAGTTCAGACGCCACGTTTCGGATTGGGTTATTGGCTAGTAGCTTAGAGACGAACTTAAAAGGTCCCTCGTATACCCGTGGCCCCACAAACTTGCACCCAAGCTTAAAAACTTTTTAGGCAAAGGCAAATTTTGGGGTTGGAGCTAAATTTGGGCTCAGCATCAGCCCGGTGCAAGCTATTTGTTGAGGATATAAATTATAAGTTTTAATTCGTTTTAGTATTTAAATTTTTAATTTTTTTAAAATCATACTCAATGTTTAGTTTTTATTTCATTTTAACACCCTTCTGTTAAAAACGTTTAGTACCTAAACTATCAGTTTTGATCCGTTTTCAAAACTTAACATTAAATTTTGAATGGGATATTAAAATGAAACAAAAACTAAAATTTTTAATTACAGTGTACTAAAATGAAATAAAAACTAAACATTAAGTAATGATCTTGAAAAAAAAATGAAATTTTAGCTACAGATATTTAGATAGTAATCATGTGATTTACTTTGTTATTGTTTGTTTCGAGGACAATGAAGCCGTAAGTATAAATTGTTTTACGGTCAATTAAAAAACTCATTAACTTCCTGTAAAATAACAAACGGAAAAAATGCATAAAACATTTTACTCAACTCTCCCGTCCAAGCAAAAGAAAAACAGTGCAAGGGGAAAAAATTGGTTGACTTGTGAGTACTATTCGTTATCTTCTCAATTTGATTAGTATTCACTCTATATCACCTTTTGCACGTAATAGCACCTCTTGCACTTCTTGTTCAGCAAGTTTCTTTCAACTGAATCACTTTACAAATGTAAAATACAAAATACAGGAAAAAGAAAAAGGAGCCTTAAACAAGACTAGTCATGACACAAAATAAGAGCGACAAAAAGCTACTGTGTTCTTTGTCCCAGTGCCTCGATGCCCCGCCGGAAACAAGCACAGCATGACTGTCGCCAGCCTTATTATAGACAACATCATCTACAACTACCACTACAAGAAACAACCATAGTGTATCAACTGCATATGACATGCTGTTCATTATATGATGCTCTCGAGCTAAAAACATAAGAAGAGGTCACAAATATAACCATGAATCATTTATTCCTGTGTTTCTACACTTCCTCGTGGCTTGTACTCTTTAAAATGTTATATTTGCAGAGAGGGCAAGTAGCATTGATGTACAACCACTTGTCTACACAGGCACAGTGAAAGTGGTGACCACAAGGTAGTTCCCTTAGCTCAACTCCGCCATCATAAGCAGAAAGGCAGATGCAACATTCCTACAGATTAAGAAATGATCAATATCAGCTGGGGACTTGACTTAAACTAGAAAGACTCGTGATAAATGGAATTATCACAAACACAAGCCTGGCTTCACATCAAATTGATTACATAGAGGCAAATCACAGGAGGAAGAAACCAGAAATAAACAGCATAAAAAACCAAAATGAGATCAACTTACTGCATCATCTTTGGGAAGATCACGTTCCAATGGGGAATCCGTACCACATTCAGTCATTATTCCCCCAACAGGTCCTTGGACAGCAGCAGCAGATTTCTCATCATTGCCAATTTTTCGAAAATTGAATTTTGGTAACTGATCAATGTCTTCATTGGAAGCTCCCTCCTAATGCAAGTGGTCATATGAAGCAAGTACAATGAATGGTATGCTAAAACAGAAGATAGAAGCTTAAGTTCGTAGTAAAACTATTAACTGCCAAGAGCCTTATAACCTGCATAAATTGTAGATTTTTAACTGCAAAGTGCTTAACTGAATCTTTTCAGGCAAATGCAGAGTTGCAGACTTCTCTTTAGAAGTATATAAAGCATGGTCATCAAGTGAAATTTAGCATTCAAATTATGCAGCAAATGGCAAGCCCACTATTATATCGTATCAACTCTCTGAAAACAAACTTCTCTCAACTTCATTTTAAGTGAGATAAGGCAATTATCTAAGTTGAACTTCATTCATGTACAAAGCTCACAATTCAAACAACAAGACAGAGACTTCCCTATGCTATCTAGATACTCAAGCATAAAATGCACACGTACACCTTACTGAGGCATTTACAATCATGATAATCTTACATGCAGCAGGATGAAAGTTACCTGATCTGCCACAGCATATAAGATTGCAATAATACATGGAAGACAGCAGCAAACAACAATGCCAATGATGCATGACAGAGCAACGCAGAAAACAACAAAGAACACATCAAAACCGAGAAAAATTATACAAAGCCTGCAACGAAAATTACATTGAAAGAGTTGGGATCCAGTTACAAGGGGAAAAAAACTTCAAACAACAAAAATGTAGCAGGAAAGAACAACATAAGAACTAACCAATAAAGCTGAGGGGAGCTACGAGCCATTGCTTGGCCACCTATAGATACCCAGTAGAATCCAATAATCCACCAGATGAATGAAAACATCGTATTTGCAGATTCCAAATGCTTTGCAACGCTGCTGAAAACATCAATTTCAACTAATTATCCATTAAGTGTAGTTCTGCAGTATCATGTATAACTTAAGCTATAACCATTGAGGTTAAATATATCCAAGAATCAAGATAATCTATTCAACAGACAACATGCCAAAGATCAGAATAAAATTATCAAACACTTCACATGTCAAATGCATAGGGAAGATTATCACATCACAACTTCAAGGTAAATTATCCATTTGCATAACTTAACAAAGTGAAAATGAATGAAAATGTCAATCTCCCATCGAATACTTAATTGCAACTTGTTCTGAGTTGCAGTGAAATGGTGCCTAAAGCATAATTTATCGGACTTCCAAAATGGCTAACAAAAAAAAAAAAACTGTTCAAGTTCCTGCCACCATAAACTACATTAACTTCTCAAAATCACCAAATACCAATATAACTCTTAGAATCAAATAATTGTATACCTGCCACCATCCTCTTCCAATTGGGCTAATGGCACGTACTGCTCTGAACTCACCCTCGATCCAGGGCTCAAAACTCCTTCCTCCCCTGCATTAAATGAGCTGTACTCCGCGCTCCGCCTCCGCCTTCGCCGCTTATACTCCACACAAACGCAAACCATATGCAAAAAACACTGGAAAGCATACCCAATTACCACAACCTCAGCGGCATATCAGGCCTCTCGTCCCTGCTCAAAACCAATACACCAAATGCCGCCACCACGAACGCTAAATTCCAGATAATATCGAGGACGACGACGGGCTTAGAATAAGCCCAATCGCTCTGGCGCTCTTCGAGTTGCTCGGCGGCCGTTTCTCGAACCAGCATGGACGGCTCAAGCATCATACTTCGGCTGCTGGCACTGTGAGGGAACCGCGCCGCATCGCGAAGGCTCTGGCGACGAACAGTTCGGCGCGAAGAGTTCGGCGCGAAGAGGGATCGTCCTGCCAGGCGTTGCTTGTTGATGAAAGAAACGGCGTCGTGTCTAAAATGTCATCGGAGGAGGACCGGTTCGTTGGAATCGTCGAAGCCATCAAAAAAATAATAATAATTGGATTTGATAATTGTTTAGGGAATTAGGATAAGTTACGGTTCGTGGAATGTTGTTTGATTTGATAATTGTTGTCGCTACAATTTTTAATTGGATAAACCACAGCCACAGTAGTTAACTGTTCGTTAAATTATGTTTATAGCACTTGACTATTTGGGATGAGTTATTTCAGTCACTACGCTATTAAAGAATAACTAGAAGATGACATCGCCGTTCATAATCTTCATAACAACATATTTTATTTCTAACATTTACAAATTTAATCAATTTAATTTATTATTATAAAAAAATATTTTTCAATTTAATCCCTTAAAAGTATCTCTTTCATATTACATTATTAAGAAATACCTAAAACCAAATCTTTAATTATTTAGCTTAATTTTCCTCTTATCAAACAAAATTTAAAACTAAAATTTGTTAAAGTTTAATGCCCTAAGTAAAGTAATTAAGGTAATTTTTGAATTCATTTGAATTAATATATATATATATATATATAATAATTTTAAACATATTATCTTTAAGCTTGATATTGAACGATAAAGCAATAAATTTTTTTGGGTAACTACCGTTATTTAATATTTTTTATTGATTAATTCAGATAAAATATTATAGATGTAAGAGATAAATAAATATGATTCATAGATTATTTTGGTTTAATTGAATACAATTTGTATATATGTTCAATTAAATTATGAACGTTGTTGAATCAAAATAGAGTAAAAACTCTAATTGATCGAGAAGAAGAAAAACTCTCTTTAGAATAATCTCACAAAATTGCAAAAGGGAAGAACTCTTAAGAAAGCTTTCAATTGCTTATAATTAAGCTTTGATTGTTGGATGATAAAACTCAAATACAAGTAGGGTATTTATAGGTTACAAGAAACAATCTAAACCACTCATTAAAATAAGCACTAAATAATCTAAACCATTGAAATTAAAACATGAGAAAAATACTTAATTTTCACCTAACTAAATTGATGTAAGCAATGACATCAAAACTAAATTGATGTAAGCAATGCCATTCTTTGAATCACACCATGTTGACGACGGAAATGTTCAAACTTTCCAACACTCAAGCTTTTTGTAAACAAGTCAGCAATTTGCTCATTTGTCTTGATTTGCCTCATCTCAATCTCTTCTTGCAAAACTTTTTCCCTAACAAAGCGGTAATGTACTTCCACATGTTTAGTTCTTGCATGAAAAACAGGATTCTCTGCCAGTCGAATTGTCGATTGGTTGTCACAATACAATGAAATTGCATAATCTACTGGTTGATGTAGATTATTCATCAATTGTATCAACTATGTACTCTCTTGAGCTGCCATTGTTGCTGCTCGATAGTCAGCTTCAGTGGTTGACAATGATACCGTTGGTTGTCTCTTGCTACACCAAGAAATTGTTCCGGATTTAAGCTTAAACACATACCCAGTTGTTGATCTCCTGGTATCATGATCTCCTGCATAATCAGTATCACAATAACTAACAAACTTGCATCTTCACCTTTCTTGTACAAAAGACCATAGTCAATTGTACTCTTCACATATCTCAGTATTCGTTGAACTACTTCCAAATGAGGC